AAGTTTGCAATATATTTAAAAATCAATAAGTTTAGCAATATATCAAAGTTGGATGCCATATCAGTCCTGCATGCTTTGCTATTCAATATTTGGTGCATTCCTATTTAGCTTTACTGATATACTACCGCTAAATAAAACAGAATTTTTCTACAATATTTCGGATAAGAACCTCTCTAAATTTTAATGTAATACCTGAAAAAATCATGTGTTCAAAACATGTTTAATATCAGATGTATAAAAAGAGTTCATCCTTTCTGAAAAAAAATGCACGTTTTCGAGCAGATTTTCTAATTGTAACGTTTCTTTTGTCTTTCACTTTTGGAATATTTGATACCGTTATATGTACTAGTCTGAAAATGTTATGAACTTTGTTTAATAAATGCATTCCCTAGCTCTTGAATAGGACAGTCTACGTATTCAGGTATTACTATTAACAATTGTATTACATTGCTACGATGTAACTCACAAGGGTGAGTTGTGTATTACCAGCTCAAGAACTGACAATATCGTAGAAATATTGCAAGCAATATAAGAAAATTTATGTTGTTTCCCTATGATCAGACGTAAATTGAAAATGGTAAAAATATAAACATTGGATTCCTAAAACCCGACATTGAAATTGCCCTTATCCGTTTGGCATTCCTATGTCCATGAATGTCAATTTAAATCATTATCAAGTTATTATTTCACTACGTTTTATAATAAGTATGTTTGCATGCAACACTTCTTGAGAGTATATACACGCAATACTTGTGCTTGAACATTATAAACTTACGGTCAAGGAATTGCAGGATTCTGTCGAAGCCGATCCTATCAACATAATGACTGACAGTGTTTGTCTTTGCCGCCGCTACTAATTCCACAAGTATGAGCTTTTCAGTTTCCGGAAGTTGATGGAAAGTTTGGCTACTGTGAACAGCTTGTAGTTCCAGAAGAAATTGGTCGTCTGGCGAAATGGTCGGATGTACAGCAGTTGTGTACACAAATAGCGACACCAACACAGCGGGAACAAACATCATCATCTAGTGTAAAATTTAGCCAAAGAGTTTTAATTAGTTTGGTGTTATCACGGTAGTCCGGTTTTCGTCCACAGAAATAAATATTGCATATTTCCCCCCAAGCGAACAAGGGCGATTAGAATAAGCCTAAAGTTTAAACAAAGCAAACTATGTGGAAACTGTAGGGCAGATAAACTTCCGTAGGGAGTATCTAACAGAGATGAGGATGAAATATAAAAAAGATATTTCCCGTTTCATATCACATAAATGTTTGATAGCATATTGTTAGATAATGACATTAGAACAAAATACACAAGGAACAACATATTTACTCACAACCACCATGTAGCCAAACAATTCACCAAGATAATAACTTATATCAGCTAACAATATACACAAGAGGAAACATCTATAACGTCAACACTAATGTACAATATGAGTCGGTGACGTTTAAGTAAGTATAAGTATTATATTCAAGATTGCAAAAATAATCAGCTTCTGGCGCATTTTATCAAAGCTTGTCTTTTCTGTTCAATGATGGACAGATGACGTGAAAAGGTGAATATATATTAACATCAACATCGAAAATGTATGGTGCTGGACTGCAATGTATGACAGCATCGCAGTTCTGTGGCGTATTTTATGCTCCGTCTTTTCGGTTATATTAGAATATGATATTGATTATGATGTAAGTATGTTTGTACATCATGTCTGCCATGTTATTCGTCATTCAATACGATGACGAAACTAGCAATGTCTTTCTTGGTTGCTATTGATAAATAACATTCCCAAAAACATAGCTCAAGTTATGACTCAATTATCGGGATGGAAATTATAAATAATCGATTATAAAATATTTGAAAATAAATGTAGAAGTAGCATTCGTTATTTTCTAATATATCGAGTAATTCATAACTTTGGATGGAAAAAAGTTTCAAAATAATGTAAAATATTATTGATATAACCATTTCACCAAGATTGTGAAGTTAAGAATCCTTACCGTTATGTTGATAATAGAAGGACCGGAGTAAGTGTGGCAGTCTTATCTGCCACTGCACTATATATATATGTCTGGTGTTCTTAAAACGTGTCTTCTTCGACGGTCAATATGTCAATCGCGTACCGAAACAGACAACGCATGCTCCGCAAACGTGATAATACAAATTGGGCACTATCAGCGCGTTCGGCATTTTGGATAATACGTAGTTTAAAAATTGTTCAAGAGTTTAAGGATTGAAATTTTGCAGCAAGGAAACAATGATATCAATGTGTTTATATAAAGTAGTTATCGTCGATCAAATGGCAAGACGGTTAGTTTTTTCGGACAACTCAAAGTTTCACTATTTTACGTGTATGTTTGTAAGATACGCCATGAAAATAATCCATTACTCACATATTTCCATCTTAAGCAGTAAGTTTTGTTATTGTCATGTTGCACTAATCAAAGTTACACTGATCTCTTTGGCTAAATCGTTCTCCATCAAGATTTGCAATGTTTTACTTAGGATAGTCAATCATAAAAAAGCAACAAAAAACTACCAGCATGTGAACAGAATCATAATTCAAACTAAAATTCAATAAAGCTTCGAATGAAATAATGATTTACAAAGATTCTCATGAAAAAAGTACAAGGATAATAAGACAAAGCGTTCCAGAAGAGTAAGTATCTTCTGTTTCACAGACGACATCCGCTATATAAATCTTGGTCAATCTGTGTAAGTAATGCCACGTTCTCAAATGAGAACAAGGTAAATAACAATGGAACAAACAGGCAAACTTACAAGCATCAAACACGTTCAGTAGCTTCATGTCGCAGAAAGAAACAGAATATTTCTCTATGAGCTTTTCATGACCAAACCAAGGAATCGCAATGAATATTACATTAACGCTTTCAGACATAAATATTTTCAGATTGTGACCAACCGACGCATTAATATAATGTAAAATAAAAATGGAATACCAGTGTAACGTACTGACGTTTGTGTTAAATGATAATGAATTTGTCAATGTTGACATACCATTACATTATATGATAATTGTAAAACGTTAGTGCCAAGCATATATCTATCCAGAGGTACACTTTCAAGGCTGTATATCGATATCTATCTTTCCTATCTTCTAATTACTTTAAGACGCGAAAGCCAATTACGTTTTACTTGAACATACCGAGAGAACTTTCGTACACATTACATATTTTCTTAAAAAATGGTGAAAAATATAAAAAAAACACGTGATCAGATATCATGTGAACCCTTCATATCGCCATTATAAAGACTGTTCTCATCTCTTTATTTGCCGATAAATTCTCTTTACAGAAGAAATAATGGAATATTGGCAGAGAAGAACATTTTCAAGGAAATATCAATGTTTGAATATTTACAATGTTCGCCGATGATGTAAAATACTCGCTTGATATCTCAACAGATGGAAATATGAATATGTGTTATGTAAAGTTACTACCTCGAGCAATAAGCACAAAACATGGAGGTTTCAAATGCATTTTTTTACACACAGCTAACATATGTACCAATTTTTGACCAGACAAAATGTCTTATCTCAAAAACTGGTACAAATGAACTACGATACCGAAATAACGAAAGATTGGTAAAGGAATAAAATTAATTCAAGAAAAAAAAATTACTGAAAACATCTTAAGTACGAAAATCTAACAGAAACTGCGTTTGAATCGGGTTTTCCTTTTACATATTTATCAAACCAGAAATAAACTTTCGGTATGTTGTAACTTGTCAGGTCACTTATGGTTCATTGTGCATCTCATCCCAATGATATTACGAAATAACCCTTTCATGTTTACATATTCTTTCTATGTCGCCTTAACACGTATAATGACCTCAGACGCTGGAATAAGTACGTTAACAAGGGTTATGAAATGTATTGACATACACGTAACAAAAGAGCCTTTGTCACGATCAATACTTTCAAAATGGTTGTATCCTTTACATTGTGATAACGCGATGTTTTTGACTTCCGGAATCAAACTAAACCTGACATTGTCTAAATGCCATATGCAGCGAAATGACATTGAGATCGCTATTGGAGTATCACACAGTGTTTACTTAAATATGTAAATCAATAATGGATATTTCCGTTGTTAAGCTGTTGTCGATAAACAATGCACGTGTTTCGCGTTGTCATAGGCCTTTAAAGCATTTTAAGTACATGATATTTTAAATATATGAATATATTTTTCAGCAACCTCTAAATCGCCAAACAATCGATAACACCCTTACATAGTACACACTGGTTTAATGGAAACAGGACATTAATATATTTGATTATAGTGGACACGAACGACGGTATAAAGCATACGTATAATATGTATTGAACATAATACATCGCTGTTAAAGATCCAACACCTGTAAACCTCCGCTGACCCACGATGAAATATACATGGCAGTACCTGCTGATGGATCTGTCTGTGATACTACATTTAACAGGTATGGGGTACTACAGTTTAAGGGTATATGCTGCAGATTCCGGCAGTTAAAAAATGAAAAGTAATGTTTCTAATCATAAAGATAGTTAGTTGCCCCGCGACCATTTCACGACGAACAAAATCGTATTTTCTGTCAGAGACACAACTGTGTTTGTTACTATAGAAATAATTTTCAAAAATATATAACGTATTTGATATTTTCCCAAGTCAAATTTTCTTTTGTTTTATATCTCCTATCGATATAACAATGCTATTAGTCTAATGTCTGTTTCGAAATATTTTTCTGATAGCTACAAATCGTGTTTTGCTGTTTTGTATCTTGCTGTTTGACTTCAACATGGCCCGAATTATTTGTGTTGTATTTGGTATTAGACGACTAAATATTCACGTATTCGTCCTTTTCCCACTCTTTTCCCTGACTAGCACATGGTACGTTTCTGCAGTTGTGATTCCTTAATATGTCGCGGACCTTATTAACATTTTTTTCATTCATAAATATTTGCCGTTCCTTTTCAGGTCTTTTTCAAGCAAGTACATATTCGTACATGGTAGGCTTTATGCAAAATACTTATTCTGCACAAGATTATGTTGACCTTCAGATCATCACGTTGAACACTGGCGACGGACCCGCACGTGTAACGCTTCATGATCATTCAAGACGACTCGAGGAAGTTGTCCTAGACGCAAGCTCCTTTCGGAGTCATAACATTTCATCTGAATTAATGAATACAGAACGAACGAGAAGCAATAAAGGACTTAAACTCGAATCGAATACCACCGTTTGTGTCATTGGCATCAACCGCATCGCATTCCACACTATGAATTCAATGGATGCCTTTGTTGCGATGGAGTATTCGTTACTCGGGACACAGTACTACGCAGTAACAGGGAATCATTCGTCCGCAATTCTTATCATTGGAATATCTGACAATACCTCTGTTACGATTACTCTAAGAACAAATGATGTATCATTACGATATTCAAACAAAATTTACAAGAACGCAGACGTTATATACGAGAATATTGACGAATTTGATGTGATATATATAGAATGCAGCGGCGATCTTAGTGGAACATCCATCAGCGCCACAAATTCCATCAGCGTTTTTGGGGGAAACAAATGGTATTCATTTTCAAAAGTAACATATGAAGGAGGACACTTGGTTGAACAAATACCCCCCGTGGAACAATGGGGAACTCGTTATGTGATTCAACCACCAGAGGATTTCGGATACATCTGCACAATCGTTGCAGGCTTTGACGATACCGATGTACGTGTTGACTGTACAAATGGTTATTATAATTCATTTTTCTTGAACAAGATCGGAGACACATACACCATCGATGACTTGGCCGACATGTGTGTTTTGACATCAGATAAACCATATCTTGTATCCATGATAACATCGAAAGTATCGGAGAAAGACCCGTCAATGGTGATAGTACAACCCATGGAGAATGTTTCTGAGGACACCCTCTTTTACGTGCCGTCTGGGTTTCATTCTGCCGAACTTGTGTTAATGACGACGCTGAATCCAGAATTGATATACATAGATTCGCGTCCCATTCAATCAAATCTCTTAAACATCGACGAAGAACTCTTTGGGATGAGAGTTACAGTAGATGAAGGAGTCCATACCCTCAGTGCCCCCGGATTTGCCATGTCTATGTTTGGCTATGTGCATGGAGCTAGAAGCTTTGGCGGGGGATTCGAGACGTTTGGGTACCCTTTGAATCACCAACGATATACAGTAAGCTTTACAACTGTTCAGATTTTTACTTTACCATTTTAATTATTCAGAGTTTAATGATTCTATAAAAAAAAAAAAAAAAAACAGAAGCAAAAAGGTAAATATCGCAGAAGTTTTACAACAATTTGATTTATTTTGTTTTTGCTAAATTGCTATTTTCGGGATCAAGAATGCGTTCATTCGAATATAATGACCTTTAGTATAAAATGATATTAAAGAAATTGTTAGTTGAGAACACTGCACTGGAACCTTGTGCTTAAGAACAATAAAGCAACCATATTACAAAATATTAATTAAAAATCTTCAGGTCCATAAAATACTTTCTTTGAATCCACGACAGAAAAATATCGAGTATTACTTTCACAATATGATAAGATACCAGTATACGATGCTTCTTCTGTCATTTTGGTCTTTTAATTGTTTACAGGTTGTTCTTGAACTACAAAAGCTGGTTTCAGTTTCTTTTTAGTATTTCATATATTCCATATGTCTTTACATACATAACAAACAACTTGAAGCGTTTGGTATATATAAACGTATATGGAAATGTTATTCTAGTGATTTTATTATTATTATCTTTGTTTATTTTATGCTTCTTCTTAATTTTAAATCTTTTATGAAATAATTTTGATAATTCTTTTATTAAGGAACAGCCAACCAGCACCGTTTCAACATCATTTTCACCTTCCCAATGCCAAGTTTGCAGATGTTATACCAACTATACAACAGAACAATTATCTGAACTAATCAGGGAACTAAAGAAAGAACTTATAATTGAACCAACACAAACAAATAGATATTTCCGGTCAAAGAAGTCAGTGCCAGACAACAGATCATCATCTGCAACGATTGGGTCTGTCGCCAGTCTTGTTCTTGCCTTTCCGTGTGCGTGCATATTAGTAATAGACAGCGGGAGGCTTTTAGCAGCTTTGAAGAGGTTTAAGGCAAACATCTACAGTCGTTGACAACCGAGACTATTAAGCTTTGGTTTCTTGTGTATTCTTAACTATGTTTAGAAGAGAGCCAAGGCTTTACCGTGAACGATTTGTACTATACGGTCACTCATTAAGATGGTTACCACTTAGCGGAATATTCCAAAGACTATAATATACAATGATAAATTTTCGAGACATTTGCAAAGAGCGATTTTGCACAGTTGAATTTATCTGTAGATATAAATGTTAAAAGACAGGTATTGCGTGTAAGTGTATAATATATCCAGCACCCTATTGGATGTTAACAGCTGTAACGAGACATGAGGTATTTGAAGCTGAGCGTGAGAGTTTGCTGAGAGTTTATTCCAAAGTTTGAAATTTCTCTGTGCACACAGAACAGCGGTGGAATTGAAAACTAAATGGACGATGGACCATAAGAAAATACTGTGAAAGGTGAATAAAATCGATAAAAAAAAGACAGTTTTACTACGTATAGAAAACAAATGCGTTGAAGAAGTATCGTGTGTCTGCCCTCGTTAAAAAGTTAACTTTGTTCATAAAATCTCACAGTTATCCAAGTGCAAAATTCATGTAAGAAGGGCTAAATATGAATAAACGGAAAATTTAGATACAGACACCTGAGAATCTACCTAACAGTACCAAGCGTTCCAGAAGGGTAAGCGTCTATTTTTCAAAGGCGATGATGGTACAAATACTGAAAGCATTGCATTGTTATAAGTTCATTCTTTGATATTTTCGTTTTTGTTTTGAATTGATCTTTATTATTTTTTCAGATTCATAGTATTTTGGAAGCCTCGACAGTTTTTCATTTATAGAAAAAAAATGAAAATGCATTATTTTTTTCCAATATATCATGAAGTGCATGTATCGATTTAAAGTATATTATCAATCTAGACGGACTTGCTGTGTAGACAACATAAAAAACACAATTTCTGATACGAAAGATTTAGTTACCTGAGACTTACAAAAGGATAATTATAACTAGAACAAAATGTACCGTGTTCTAAATTTACACTGATGCAATTCAAATATCAGATTTCCACAGCTGATCAATGCTTCATTGATTGCTCAACACATCACCAGAATATTCGTCGGTGAGACATTGTCTACAGATAGGACGAATCACGGAAACGATTAACCTGTAAACAACCAACCAACCAATCAACCAACCAGCCAACAAATTTTCTGGTAGCGTTCAACTTTGTTGAATGATTTTCAAAGAACACAGGCCATATCAATTCCATGTTTGCATGGAATAAATCTAGGAGGAGATTCTATAATTCAAATTTTTAATTTGAAAACGCAAGGTTGATGTACAGCCACCGTGTAAATTTCTGCTTATAATGTATAACGTTGTAAACAATGTGACATACTTCCCATGAAACAACCTATTTCATCTTCACTTTAAATGATTCCATAACAAAATTTTTCGAAATGTATATTAAAATCTCAATTGTGACGAAAAATCACAATATCACATACAAAAAGCTAGCGGTTATGTCTGTCTTATCTTTTCATGCAAAGTATCAATTTTGGTCATCGCGCCTTATTTGGTACCGGAACCGGAAGTCGACAACTTATACATACCGTTCTACTAATCAAAACGTGAGCTCTTATAGTCAAACCATCACACTAAAGGGAAGGCCTGCGACATAATTACCAAATATAAGGGAACACGGAAAGCGTCTTACTGGATCTTTCCGGACTTTTCTTAAATTGTTGGTGATGATGATGATGATGATGATGATGATGATGATGATGATGATGATGATGATGATGATGATGATGATGATGATTGTTATGTTATTGTGTGTGCAAATTGACGTAATGTTAATGTTTTGTTGATGTAGTTGAAAAATCTTGGGAAATAAAAATAAACAAAAAATATCTATAATGTGTAACTTCAATATGTTTCTTTTAGATTAACACCTGCTAGCTGCGTTTTAGCCTATGCTATACAACCAATCGAGAGAAAATATGTTTACAGACATCACGATATCTCCCCCTACGACGCCATTTTCAAGGTCTATGTAGATCAATTCCACAAACTTTTTTTCAGAACGGCGGTACCAATATATTTGCATATTTACATCATCTATTGAAGATGCAAGAAGAATCTTGCAATATACAGATCGAAATATGGCAATAAACATTTAAAGTTAACTATGTTATATTCTGGTAATGTTGATTCCGATTAATCCCAACTCACTATATCTAATGATTACTTCAACGTTTGTTCAAGGGAGGTAACTACAGACAGCTATGATTGGAAGTTGAATAACGCATATGTCGGCAAATGAACATTTTGAAATGGCCTCATGTTGTCAGATCATCTATTTTAGTCCAGATGTACTGCAATGCAGTGATTTGTGCTACAAAGATTGTACAAAAGACACACATCTGAATGTCATATTTAAACACAATTTTATTGTATCACATGATACAATACTGGTATTTCATTGGTTAGTATCATTTCTAAACTGAAAAACTGGAAATTTATCATCATTCAAATTGCCAGAGATCATAACAATCTAGACACATTAATTGCGGTGTATATCGTTTCTCCTACAAATGGAATTTTAAAGTTTCAAAATAGCATTTCAAAATCGCTCGTTAGTTTGACAAAACGTCCTGGTTTTTGTTGGTTAATTTGTTTCAGAAACCATTCGAATTAATTATTGTTCTCTTCACCCCACCTTTGTTAAGGATAGTGGTTTTTTCAATATGTGTTTATTTACCAAGACATGGATACAGAACTTCGCTTTGATATCACAAAACACCAGAATCGATCGGGACTGTTTTTCCTTTTCGTTGGAAGAGGAGAGGATGTCAATGCTTGCTTTGTTTAATGCTTTTGTGGGTTTATTTTTCTTTTACAGTAAAACCTCAGTCAATATCACCTGTATATAAAGAACATTTCATTCCAGTCAAAAATTGAGTCCTCTATAATGTTTTTTATATTTTAAACTTCATTATCAATACCGCTCAGTATTAATACCACCTCCCTATCAATACCACCTATCTATTAAGACCACCTCACTAATCAGACCAATAATTTGTCATACCTCGCAAACATACCCGATGTCTATTCGATCGTGTACAGGTCCTAGGTCCCAGGTGTCAGATCAGTTACCTTTATTTAACCCCGAAACTGCATTCACAGCTTCAATTACTGTGTGGATATAAAACCAACACACTAAATTAATGACAATCAAAGTATGGACAAAGGCGTCCGGAAGAGACGTGTGTCTGATCTTGCATATTCACTGTTCGGACCATACAGCTATTAACAGCACTTTTGTCCAGTCCAGTCCCATAATAGTAAAGTGTCTTTGTATTTCTGTTTCTTGTGTGTGTAGGCGTTAATCCTCAAAAGGTGAAATAAATCCATACAAAAGGCACGTCAATCACTTTGGTATACCTATAAACAAATTAAATGAACTTATTGTTGAACAGTTTAACACCTTATGATCTTTGACAATGCGAAGCAAATAAACTATTTTGCACACACTGTGTCTATATTCTCTCTGATAAAACAGTCAATTCTTTATCTACTAATGTCTAATATATAATATCTACTAAACACATATCAATGACAAAAAGTCTATAAAATAAGCATCTATATGTTTCATCCCATGTTAACATCACTTTTCTGTGAAATCGTTAATTAATCATGTTCTTTAAACAAAACGCGGTGATGTAAACTGAGTTTACAAATGTTTAAAAGCAAAACACATTCAATCATATCAGATACTGCAAAAATGTTAGCATATTTACACAACCAAATGTGGGTACATCACAGAGTGTATTTACATCCTACAGAAAAAGAGGCCAAAATTTTCAACGATTTCAAAGTGTACATACTTCGTTTGATATCGAAATCTATTTTACGTATCTAATTTTAGTATATATAGATATGTGTGTGTGTGTTCGTGTTTGCCTGGCCTTGGCACAGTCCCTCAATATGAACAATGGTTTAAATCACGGGTATATAGGGTAAAACCTCATTATTTGTTTAGTGACAAAGCTATCAACATTCCTAACGGATTTATACATTATAAACAGTACAGTAAACACACCCAATCAATGTAAACCATTTGTAACAATCCGAATAAAAAATATGGATGTATTGTTATCTATTATAACACATACCTTTTGGGTACAACATTGTTATGTGCTCTCATCTCCACCAAAAGTTAAACATTTTCTTATTTAAGTTGTGTTGACGCTGTCTTTTACAAGTAAAACAAAATTAGATATTGATATAATAACTATGCTATATTTGTTTTATATTAATTTTTTTCGATTTTGAATCATAAGTCATTCGTCATTTAAAATATCCGAGGGATAGAGGTAGATGTATTCTGAGAAAAGAAAAAATCGGACTGCACGCCTTATATCATGTTTTAATGTGACATCAATAAACTGCGAAACACAAACAGTATTTTAAAATAAACAAATGTGTAGAATCTTTTATGAATCAGCTAAGTTCGTGACTATGTTTACTTGATGTTCTGTAGTGTTTGGTCTTATCTTTCATCCATTCGAAAAAGTTTAAATGAGTCTTAAACATGGACCGTCGTTTGTAGTAAAGGCCTCAGTCTTTATTATATGATCTATATTAGGATTTCAGCAGTATGAAAGGCGAGGAACATGCGAAAGATAATACAAACTCACTTCACATGATATAGGATTAATCCTTATTAACATCGACATGTATGGACATGCTTTACAATTAATTTATTTATGTTACTGCAAAGGCAGGCATGTCCATGAATGACTACTATATGCAATGACGAGCTTCGTTGTCACTGTACAATGCAGGTTTTCTGTCTTGTTTCCTTTTGCTTAAGGCGACCAGAGTGACAACAGAAATGAAACGGGAAGAGTTAAAACAAGAAGGAGATAAGTAAGTTTTTAACATTATGTTTAAATCGTCATTACGTGTAATATAAAGTTTTGATGCAGAAAAAAAACTCTAAGATATTTTTTTCCGAAATTTATTCAACCTGCAGAGAGTGTTTCAGCGGAAGTCTTGATATTTTAGTTTAGTTTAAACAATATTTATTCGATGATTAGCATTTAAATACAGACAGGTACATTTAATCTTATGGGATGGGAAAACAAGCTTAAAGCTTATATTAATTCCTTTCCCATGAACATACAAAGACAAATTAAAATCGGAACTGGAACACCTAACATCGACATTGGACGAAAAAGTGATATTTATACATAACAATAATATCTATAAACTTACGCACATGTGGTGGATAGAATTACAAAATGTAATTTCTAATTTAAGTAGTTGCGCCCTAATTAAAAAAATATCTTAGTTTGTGTTTAAACAATATCTTTGATAACACTTTCTTTTCCATTATATTTAAGCTTCATCCCAAAGAATTCGACCGCCACAGATGATCGACAGAAGTCTTCATGTCTTAGGAGACATCCGCTGCTAATTATAGGACTTTGTTTCACTTTTGTCGTCATCTACACAGTCGTATTGACGCTTGGAATTTTACCATTTCGTCAACAAGGGAATGACCGAAAGGAAAACACCCGAAAGATCTCGATTAATGTTGGCGCCGTTGTCAGCGACCATGAGACATGTTCAGAAATTGGTCGGTATGTATTGAATGGATAGAGTTCCTATTGAGACCATGTTAATTCTAAAATAAAAAGCAGAAAGTGAAATTTCCCCAGTAAAAAGGCTCGCTACTACGGTTCAATGTTCAAAGCGTGTAATTCTTTTACAATGAATAATAACACTCGTTACATTGATTGATGGGTAATTTTGACAAAAACAAAAAACAAAAAACTTCGATATAGTATATGATTATGATATAAACAATATCCGGAATACACATTACAACTATGATGACTTTCCTTGAGATTCTGTGGTTGATTATTTGAGGTAGATTCCACTCTGTGTTATCAGCAATACCGTACTGGAAATACTGAACACATCGTGCTTTTATTTATTTCCTAAATGAACATAGACCTTAAAATCTAAAAAAAATCTAATTGAGATACAACAACTCCAGAGTTACCTAAGGAGGAGAGTCTAATGAGACACCAACAACTAGGGTTATCAGAGGCGTAGCAATAATGTATGCTTGTATGCTTAAACATACACTCGAATTCCATTGAGATATATTTGCCCTACCTTTTTAACCTTACTGCGCCCCTAGACCCCCTTAACCGGGGCTTCGCCCTTGGATCCTCTCTTGAAAGCATACACTCTTAAAAATGTTTTGCTACGCCACTGGTTATATGTGGACGGTTGTCTAGTGAGACACCAACAGCTAGGGTTATATATATATATGACGGGTGTTTAGTGAGACAACAACAGCAAGGGTTATATATATATGACGGGTGTTTAGTGAGACAACAAGGGGTATATGAGAACGGGTGTCTTGTGAGACACCAAAAGATAGGGTTATATGTGGACGGTTGTCTAGTGAGACACCAACAGCTAGGGTTATATATATGCGACAGGTGTTTAGTGAGACAATAACAGCAAGGGTTATATGAGAACGAGTGTCTAGTGAGACACCAACAGCTAGGGTTATATGTGGACGGTTGTCTAGTGAGACACCAACAGCTAAGGTTATATGTGACGGGTGTCTAGTGAGACAACAATAGCTAGAGTTATATATGACGGGTGTTTAAGGAGGCACCAGCTAGGCAGTGTTACATGGGAACCATCGATAATTGTTTATATTATCAATAGATACAAAATATGGGCTGTATGTATATATTCTATATGTGCATGAAATTGTTCTGTTTTATTCCAGAGATATGTTAAAGAGGAATGGGTCGGCTGTTGACGCCGCCATTGCTACTCTTCTCTGTGACGGGTTGATGGCACCACACAGCATGGGAATAGGTGGAGGTAGCCATTTTTCAAAATAATGTACTTTGCTTTTCTTTCGTCGACGTTTCATACACTTGTCTTGTTAAGTCTTGTAGAGAATCTGTCGCACTTGTGTACGTTGCTTTTCTTTCGCCGACGTTTCATACACTTGTCTTGTTAAGTCTTGTAGAGAATCTGTCGCACTTGTGTACATAAACCTTTAAGTATTGTATATTGACAGGAAGTTTCTTCGTCATCTACGACGCGAAAACTAAACTCACAAAGACGATCAACGCTAGAGAGTCAGCACCCGCAGCCCTCACTTTCAGCCAAAATATTCAGAGGGGAGGCGATAAAAGTAAATATAACTAATTTCTGTCCTGTCCTGTCCCTGTCCTGTCCAGCCCTGTCTTGTCCCTTTCCTGTCTTGTTCCTGTCCTGTCCTATCATGTCCTGTTGTCCTTTTGGTGTGTGGGTATGCGTGCGTAGGAAATGGAGGGGGTGTTCCTGAATTTCCTTTATAGATCTCCTTCACTAAAACACACCTACTTGATATTTTCTTCAGTTTGCTAAGTTTGACTGAATCTATATGCTATATCATATATTGTTTATGTGACATGTCTGAAATCTTTCTAACATACTTGTCCTTTATCAGAGGTGTTGACTATTGGAGTACCAGGAGAAATCCGGGGGTACTGGGAAGCCCACAAAAGCCATGGACGTTTACCGTGGAGGGATTTATTTTTACCAACAATTAAGCTAGCTGAGAATGGTCATTACCTCTCGCAACCTGTTTATCGTGCTTTCGAAGTCTCACGTTTGATATTTGGTATTGATCTAACAAACAACACAGAGTTCTGGTAAGTACTTATTTCGTAAGTCATCATATTTGTATGTAGACATTCATTCATTTATTAATCTTTATTCTGTATATTAAATATTCCTTTCCATCGATAAATCCTAATAAAGTAATGTCACGTCATTGTAACGCCAAGTCCGATAACTCCATGTTTAGTTATCGTCGGCTAAGTTGCACGGGTCAAGGCTAGGCCATCCTCGACAAATTCATGAATGGGCATATCAATGACATGTAGAATGACAATGCATGTAATGCAGTGTGCAACTGAATATAATTAAGGTAGAATAAGTATTTTCATATTTTCTGTTGTTTTATGTCAATGGCTTCCCCTAGGTATCGATCGTCAAACGATCACAGCTGCAGTAAGTAAGGCGTGATCTATCATATTTTTTATTGCAGTAAAATATATTGCGATGACACCGGCAAGATAGCACCTGAGGGAGCCGTCATAAAACAGCCACGTCTCGCCCAGACACTGAGAGGGATCGCTGAAAATGGACCGTCATACTTATATGAAGGGCCAATCGCGGACACAATCATTCGAGAAATTCAAGAAAAAGGTTTGACACGATACTGTATAACTATCAATCTCTGCAGCTCTCCCTCTTCACTGGAAAACAAAATTTATTAAAAAGACAACCCCTTCTTATATGGCGAAATCAATTTAAAATTACATAGCTAAGCAAGCGATTTGACTGAATCTCTCTCTCTCTCTCTCTCTCTCTCTCTCTCTCTCTCTCTCTCTCTCTCTCTCTCTCTCTCTCTCTCTCTCTCTCTCTCTCTCTCTTCATATATATATCATTTAATTAAATTGTCTTATCGAATTATTCATGCATATTGAAGAAAAGTATAGTGATCAGTTGTGAAAACTCGTGTCTAGTAATTTTGTAAATATTTGTTTGCAATGAAATATATTCAAACTCATAAAGCCCACCGGTAAATTTCACCTTTCAATCCTGAATTATATACAGTAGACTGCACCACCCAGCTGCTGTATTTCATTGAAAAACAAATGCTGCTGGTAGCTATTATTGTATCGGAGCACAAAACGTGCAACACAATATCGTACATCTTATTGGGACTATTGATCATGACGAAATACACAGCAATACCTATCTGATGGTGTCCTACCTTCTTCCGAACAAAACATGTTTACAATGCGTGCAGCAAATAAACAAACGAATCCTGCTCTATTTCTTCTTCGCTTTCTTATTATAGTTTCCCTTTTACGAATGAAAAACCAATTATGCTGGAAGATGAAACGCTCTTTGTATAAATTGTCGAAGTGAATTTCGAAAATAAAAAAAAAAAAAAAAAAACTTGTTCGTGAAGATATTGAGACACGTAACATAGAATGGTTAAATGGCACTCCGTTGTGAGCTCGAATGACCACAAGGAAGGTTCATATGTAATTGTTAAATCCTGAAAACCAGGTAAAAGTTTCATTTTTTTCGGTCTGTTTGAAGTTCGATGATATACATATATAGATGGGGATCAGTGAAAACCTACCTATCAGAATTAAAAATATTCGTCCAGTATTTCTCAAGAAAAAGAGACAACAGGATAAGTAAAGAACGATGTGATGGTAACAACAACGAATCAACCATCCCATGAATCATTTCACTTTGTCGTTATTTCGTTATTTCGCAATGTTGCTATTTCACTATGTCATTTCGTGACGAAATAATGTTAATCATATTGCTAAGATCACTGTTTTGTCGTAGCCACAGTTGAAAAAAAAAACGAAAAATGCCGAATAGCTAAATCACAAAGTTTGAATGATACATTTATGTAAAACGAAAACAACCATTATTTCGTGCCGCGATGCCACAGGACGATTGTGCATTACACGCTTTCAAATTTTCTTTTTGTTGCCGAAATTATTTAAAGAGATAATATAACGATGTTATGAATTGATATCAGGTCAAGATATTATTGGTGTTACAATTGGTAATGAAAACATTAAAGGGACTAAATGGTTAGATTTTTTTCGTTTGATTCCGGATAAGTGTTGTTATACTTAAAATTTAGCTATTTCGTAAATTATAGCACGTTTTGAGAAAAACTGAAAAAATATTATCAGAAAGTGCACAGATCTTATCAAATATTTAGATGTTATGATATAATAGATTTTAGTAAGCATTAGCGGCTTAATTTTGAGAACTCTAGTAAGACATTACACAAATGGTTTATAGTTATCGTCTTGTGTGTGTTTTCTCCTTTCCATTTTTACGTAAAGTTTAGATATCGAAGCAAATGTTGTGTTGAGGATATCACTATAGAGTCTGGTTATTGCTTTCAAAATCTTACATGTAGGCGGTGTCATGACAAAAAAAGACCTCGCAGAATATATTCCGGTAGTGGAGGATGGTATTTCCGTCAATCTTGGTGACGTCATGTTGCTGACTATGGGTGCTCCAAGTGGCGGACCAGTCCTTGGCCTCATCCTTAATATATTAAAAGGTACGTCATCATCAAAAAAACATTGTCATATTAACATTTCCGAATTTATTTTACGTTATCTGCTTTTTGGATAACAGGACTTTGGTGCATGATAAGTTATTGCAAAGGGAAAATACTTCACATACCTTTTCATGTGTTTGAGGTTATTATTTGAAAAATCATGTATATCAATAGGTCAAATGATGCAAGAAATCATATTAAAAGGAATTTGGATATAAATTATTATATAGATATGAATCAATCCAAGGCAGTAATCAAAGAAATGAAATATCTCCCTTAAACAGCGCAAGCATATCACGTGCCGGAGATAAATAAGCTTGCATCCAATGGTGATAATATTGAAAGAAAGCAAACTCTATCAGATCACAATGATATGCAACAAGGTGTAAATACCATCCTTCTATATTCACATGTGTAACAAAAATTAATCAAACAAGTTATGAAAAAGACTTAAATTGAAATTAATACAAAGATAATGCAAAAAGTGTATGGAAATTCGTTCTATTCCATCACCGACATTGAATTGCCTCCCCTTGGCAGCAGATAGCAACATTCACCGAAAGTGCGTGCTAATTCTCTAAAGAATTAAACATTAAACATCAATGCTGATACTATATAGTTTTCTAATAACTTACATGCATTGTTAAAACCATGCTGCACAAACCGGTGGTTTTCATATTTCAAGGTTGTAGGGTTTGTTTACAAAATTGAAATATTCATGAAATATTTTCAACAACTTGTAGATGATCTTAACCACGGGTGGTCTTGAAATGATTAAGAACTACGGAGGGTTTAGTGGTTGTCACTTTGGTCTTGTCTGTCGAATCTATATTCATTTGTTAGATGTGTTCGATGTTTGTTACCATGCCTGTTGGTTCCATGGTTGTTAACTTTCACGGTTGTGAACGAGACTTAACTTACTCGAATCGTAAATAGCAGGTGCCGTTGATGAAACAGAAGACGTCTCCACCTCTTCCAAGTGTTGTCAAGGATAAAACGTGCCTTTGTTTTTACCATCGCTTCATTAATTTTGAGTTTGAATCACGTATCAGTATATGATAATTGTCCTGTTAATGCTGTGAAAAATAGATTACCGACCACTGCTCAATCCTGACGGATTTACTACTTTACGCCTTCATGATTATATTGAACGCGAAATTGTGACTGAAATAGAAACTGCTTATTTCTTGTGCTAAAATCTGGAAACGATACATATGAATTGTGCAAATTGAAAATAAAGTTTGGAATAGATATAGTATTTCCGAATCATGAATTAAACACCATCTTACATGTACGGGTGTTTCATCAAGTTTCAGCACTCCCAAGCTTTGTAGAAATCGAGCATACATTGATCGATGGAGATTAAAGACGTATATCTGGAACAAATGCCAACACGCCTACCGGTAATCTAAATAAAGCCACTGTGCTTCTACCACACAATGTCATCGTTTATCTACAATCTGTTTCCTGTTGATTCTTAATTCAGTTTCTATCATGCTATCATTCTATCAAAAGATATTTTTTCTTTGAATGCACCTATTTGACTGTACCAACATATCATTCGTCTGTCAGATGTTGCAAGATACCTTATCTTGCTAGTTAACTTGTGTGACTTTTAGAGTTTTCGGAATAGTTGAAACACATGGAACGACCATGAGCAATTTGACGTCACAACAAAGCTGGGTTCATTCATATATAGTGTAATATTCACAATGGCCGACATGTACTGTTGTGACAGGACGGCGACGAGCAAATGTAAACACATGAGCATAGTTTTGTTTTACATTTTACTATTGTTATAATAAGTTCTTAATCGCAATGACATGACCTGTGTTTGTTCATATTCATAATAGTAAGAACGTAAGAATGGTATTTCTCTCACATATGATTTGAAACGACCCAGCGTTCTCACTTTACGTCCTGATCTTGCCCTGTGCGCCATATTTGGGATGATTGAGGATTGTGGTTCTAACGACTGCGATGCCACAAGTAGTTTTATTCGAGTTTTTCCCAACGAGTCTTCTTTTGAAGTTATTGGGGTCATTGGCATCTGCTTCTCAGTCTTTAGCATCGTTGGCGTAGTGGGCAGCGACAATTAAGGTGATCGGTTTTCTTGCTCCAACAAATGTCAACACTGCGGTCAAACTAACCATGGTTTTGAAAGTTCTGATTTTTTCCCCTGTTGTGATTCCCATCCCCAGGAGGTGTATTTTACAAGACGATTTCTCAAAACCGCAAATGCCCCTTCACAAATAGGGTTTAAAAGTTTGTCAACATAGTTCACAATTCTGGGAATTGCAATAATTTCATCTGATTCCCGGATGGTTTTATCTCCTAGACTTCTTCGACCTTCTCTGAATCTGGCTTTAGACAATTCTTACCAAGGCCATGACCTGCATTTTTTTTGTCGATTTCTATCTGCCCAAAACTTGCACACGCTTGTCTGCATTCAATCTAATGTATAACTTTATCTTTTTTTCAAATACTGCTATTAGTCTTTAATTGTATAGCTCATCGGTTATCAACTTTGGCTTCTGCCTCGACAACTAGTTTCCCCATCACTAACAGGTATACCTCTAGAGCAAAATTAAACTGCAAACGGAATCCTCAGGAATATATACCATCCAACTGGCATGGTCAGTTTGCAGCATTTTCAGCTAGGCTTATCAAGATTTAATTGCAAAAAGAAAAAAAGTTAAGTGAAGCAATTGAATAAGTAGTGATTATTGGGTAACGGAGACGCTTAGTAGTCTTATTTAAGTCCCTTAGGTATAAACAGTGGTACCTTTCTATGTGGTGGATAACAGGTTTATACACTACTGTCTGTGTGAACTGTATGTTTTCCCTGGAGACAACCTACCACTATAAACATTTGTTGGGCTGTTATCCGCGCTAGTTGAAACACTTTCAGAAACCCCAAAGGGAACAAGCGTCTTAGTAAATCAACATTTGGAGAACTATCTGCACCAAGTATCAAACGGACTATTTAACGAATGACTTGAAACTGAAGTTCCAATATTCCTGCTAAGATGCCTACTATAAGATCTGAATGTTGAGTTGGTCTTGACCTTCAAAATTTGTATCGTCTTTCTGCTGGTAACATTGCATCTGGTAACTGTGTCAACATGCATCTGTATCGAGTTACACTGAACATGGCATTGTACTATCCAATCATTATTGGTGGTACTTACTGGAATTTCCCTTAACATACCAACATAGAAATCCTCATCGCTGTCATCTATGTACTAAGATGTCTCGCCATACACTATGTACAGTGTTATTATTTTACCTGTTTTTCCCCACTGGCTGTCAAAATGGTTCATCTTCAGGCAAGAGTCGCATTTCCTTTCGATGCTGAGATTATACCTGCTTTAGTTACATCTCTATGCCTATTGTTTCATGTTGCATCGACGCATGTGCATATTGTCGTCCTTGTTTCGCTGCCCGCAATGAACTAATCATATTCATATTCAACTGTTTTTGTGATGTCATGAGTCCTCGCCGTATCGATGGATAAATGTTTTGAAAAGTTTGAACCCTCACTGATTAATTTTGCTCAAGCTTTCGATGATTTCACAACAAGTACTAAGTGACCTCTTACGATTTCACCTTCCATTAAAAAAAGTTTGCGACATATTTTTCAAATGTTGCATCATCAGTTTGCACTTTAGATTTCAATCGTGTATCTGGCATCAATCATGTTCTTTTTTGTTTGCAATAGTTCTCAAGTTCATCGAGAAATAGGCTTTCGGTAATTTGCTATCCTTTGCAATGATATTCCAAATTGAGTGAATTATTCTGCCATTTTCAACTGGTTATAGCATAAGATAATTTTCTTATATATTTTGTTCTTGGTAATGGCTGGTTCGCAGAATGTAAATTCGCAATATGTTTTGAGCGCTTTGAATGCTGCCGGCATATCGTTAGATGACTAGTTCATTTTTGGATACGTGTCTTTTTCCCATTGCTTGAAAATAACATCAAATACTCCATTAAATTTCTGCAATAGTTTCAGATCAAGTCTGTTTTGTGTGATTAATCTGTGTTTATATGTTTTATGTTAACAGTTTTTTATACTTATATCAAAATAGGTGTATTTCCAAACGGGAGAACAAACATGGAGACTTCACGAATGCGGTCTGATTTTTTTCATGCTTTAGTGGAGGCCACGAAGCTAGCTTATGGTGAAAGGTGGAAGCTCGCTGACCCAGCTTTCGTACCCGATGTCAAACAGGTAAAACATGTACACCTGTAAGATTATATTAGATAGGTATATTTTGTAAATAACACATTTTTACTTATGTAATTGAAATATATTTGCGGAAAATTTATGATTCTGTTCCAATCAGTAGGCATCGTGTCACTCCTGACACTAACGCCCTTTGCATGAACAAGGGCGACGTTTTCGTATTCGTGGAATGAGGTGGAGATTTATTCCTTTTACTGACAGAGAATAATATTCATATTATCATTATGATAATATCACTACTATGTAATATTTCTAAGGAATTCATCCTCCTCTGCTGTATCTAATTCTATCATTCACCTTTGTAATATTTATTGAATTATGGAGCTACTGCACCTTCCCATCCGGATATTTTTTTACATATTTGTCGAACTCTTTGGGTTTTTCTCAGCCGTCTCCTAGGTTTCATCATTTAGGACCTTCGCATTGCTGACGACAGAAGGACGAAACAGTTGTATGATTAAATTAAATCAGTACCTTGCTTCTCTGAATCCGATTCTGAATTGATATAGAAAATATCATTCATTCTGTCTCTCATACAATCCTAGACTAACATTCAAACAGTCTGAACAAAAAGCACATACCTATTAAAATACTCATGAAAAAACTTTATACAAGTTTACGGTTATGATGTTTGCTACTTCAGATATCGTCTATCGTAGTATATCGATCTCTATATTTGGTTTGAAATGTTATATCTAACTTTTGTTATGTTTCTTCATTTTCAGGTTGTCGATAAAATGATTTCAGACGATTTTGCAGCCTTTCTGAGGAATACAAAAATGGACATGCGCAGAACACATAATTGGACGTATTATACAAATATAACATACCCGCCGAGAGATCAAGGTACCGCTCATGTGTCAGTTTTAGCCCCGGATGGAAGCGCTGTTTCTGTTACCAGTAGCATAAATTATTAGTAAGTAGTGTCACTGATTCTTGAAGAAGTAAGTTAAATAAAGATTTAAGTTAAATTATCAATCCGCTGTTGATAAATAAACGATCTTTGGTTTGATTTATCGATACAGTGACATACCTTACGAAACCATCTCGTTTATTTATGCCAACAAATGTCAGGTTTTTGTAAATTATAACAAAGCCAATTCAGGAAAACATTGTATCTTATAAATTATTCCTACTGTTCCGCGTTTGTATAATTTCAAGGTAAAACCAATAAAGTTTTCTTCTTTCGAGTCCATTGTAGCATTTCTCTTTCTAACCACCTCTTAAAAAATCGTTTAAAATTGAAGGCACTATAGAGACTGTTATGCAATTTGTACAACTTTCCAGCCACTATCTCCACATTTATCCTCCTTCCCAGCGCCCATTAAATTAGTTCCCATTTTAAGAGCATCTCTATCAAATGCCTTTTTGTCTACTTTCGTAACACACTTTCTGGTGTCCACTGACAATTTATGATCTGATATTTTGATAATCTATATATTGAAAAATTGTTTGCTTTTTTAGGATGTATTTGTCCAAATATATTTAACGTAACTGTTAAATGCTCCCGATTCACTTTTGTAGTTTTGGATCAACAGTAATGTCGGAATCTACCGGAATAATATGGAATAATGAAATGACAGATTTTTCAAGGGTGAGTTATTTATGAAAATGACAGATAAGATAAAAACTTGTTTATATTGTCTAGATTATTCATGATATGGTACAGTAATTAAGATCATCTGTATTATTATTTAACACTCGCGAGTTATACTGTGTTATCATGCAAACTGGAGCTGTCATTGTCACAATATACTTGCCACATATACATTTATTGTATTAGGCAGTGGCGGAAAACAGATGTATTTTATCACGTGCGTTAATTCGACAGAATAACTTTTAGCATTTACTCAAAACGTTCGTTAAACAATATTAATAGCTATTGAAATAAGTGTGATTTTATGTTGCTTTGATCAAGTTTATTATATTATATCTTCCCATTTCCCCGAACAGATCAACGCATGCCTTCGTAAAATTTAAGACATATTGCTCATCCCTTCCTAATAATCATAAATGGAATAAAATAAATATTTTCCCAAAAACGTTTCATTTAGTCAAAGAAATAGACGAAGGTACATTCAGCAGTTTTACCACATGGCTGCCCTGGTATTCTGTAAATAACCATATTTTGCTTATAGCACATATGTAATTTAGCTTATTATGACACACTCTAGATAACAGAATGATTCAGTGGTTGCAATTCGCTAAATACCATAAAAATAGAGCGAATATGTCTTCAAGTTTGACGCAGAAATGTCCGTTTGCAATATTTGAATGAAAAAAATGCGCCAAAGATTGTACAAAAGACACACAAGGGAATAGCACCTTTAAATACAACTTTAATGTCAGATAAAGTCAAACCCAACATTGAATTAAACTGTATCATACACCTTTTTTCTTTCTAGGACTCGTCAGTGATGTTAAGTGAATTTTTTGAGGCCAGAACAAAAGCCTTAAATTCGTTTTAGTTAAATTTATATTATGTCGTCACGAATGAAAATTTTCAGACTAGTTTCATTAGGCCATATCGGTAAGAAACATAGGTAAGAGTATAAATAAGGCATCCCGTACTTTTCAGGTGAACATCATGTGAAACACATGCGTGTCTTATCCGGCTGCACTACATACACTCTTCGGCTATCTTTAAATTCGTACAGCCTTAAATGGTTGAATATCGTGTCAGCAAATGTTCTGAAAATTGACACCAATTTTATGATATACTTACTTCTACGATCGTCCGTTCGAAAAAGTCAACAATTAGTAACATCTATAACTACATCACGATCTTTGTGCCTGTGTTTAATTTGCAATGAATACAGTGTATTTTCCGCTATAGAACTAACATACAATTTAATGTTTTGCAATTGTAATGTTTTGATCAATGTTACCCAATGTAATATTATAAAGTTGTGAGTTTATCAGTACTTTGCACATTAATTACAAGTCAGCTGTTTAGCTGTGTACGATCTAGATTATGGACATAACCTCCGTTTTCTAATTGATAACAGTGTCGCTGATTTAACATGCGTTCACAAGATGAGTTCAACTTACAATTTCCTATAACTGACCCCAGAAACAAGCAATACATATGAGATACCTTTATAAGTTATATCATATTAGAATAAGAAAGAAAACGGTAGTAATACACATATTATGATATCCTCTCTGTCACCTTACGTTTGTATTCTAATGTTCGTGGATGTTGACCTTTATGTATGATGTTTACCAACTTTTGAAACAATTAGTGTAATGTACCAATGATAATTTCACCAAACCTATGTTATTGCAGCACTTCTAATGTTTTATGAGGGCAAATACCTTAATGACGCCCTGTTGCGTCGTTCTACAAGGATCTAATGCTTTTTCACTGCCTGAAATAGACGCAATAATTCACTGCAGTAGATATAATGCAATAAGCTTACCACATAAATGGCTCGTGAAGACAGTTGTGTTAAATTGGTTGAAGCACGCAAAATGAACATTTCAAAACAACCAGAAATACAGCATAAAAAGCAAATATATGAGAATATTATCAGTAAGTAATGAGCCCTGTTCAGTCCAAGCATTGCTTAAGCAGGCGATAGCAGAACCGAAAATAGAATGCTTGTTGTCACTCTTGACGTGTAGAAAGAATTTGAATTTGGCGAGTTAATAAATGTATTTCTAATGGACACAGATAAGGAGGTTTAATTAAGATATTAGATCTTTTCTGAGTTAATGAACTTCTTTCCGTGTCATAAAGTCATTATCAAGCATGAGTATGATATCAGGTCAAAGTCCCCTTGTCAAAGGTTCAGATTAAATGGTTATTTCTAAAGGAATACAGCATTGACACAAATATGTACATGTTGCTATATAAAATACAGTGACAGACAGTCATCGGTACAAATATCAACTTTGCATGCCACTACTAACCAAAATGGTGTGAAATTCATAAGGCTGTTTTCTGACCAAGTGTATATGTATCACTGATTATCAATTAGCTGAGTAAGGAGGTCACTAAATGAAACAAAGTCTCCCTCTATTTTGATAAACTCATGTATGCTGATGGCGTAAAGCCTCGTAATAAAGGCAGATTTCTATTTCATTTAGTACCCTTCATTATATCACCTTCGGAAAGCTTCTCAATATCTTACCTTGGTGACCATTTAGTCCTTTGTCTGTTTATGTCTTTTGTCTGTTCTAATTGAGCCAAATTGGTTTCCTGTCTTTAATAACAATGCCGTCAATGCTGTACAAAAGATATATATTTTTTAACATTTCCAGGACAACCCTCGCAATTTTGTTGAGCCAGGAAAGCGGCCACTATCATCAATGGTTCCTGCAATATTTGTAAACAAGGCGGGAGAGGTAGAAGTTGTAGTTGGTGGAGCTGGTGGTGCCACCATTACACCGGTCGTTTCGGAAGTAAGACATTAAAACTTACAATGAATCAGGTTGAAAATTGATATCAATCATCATTAAAACCAACGATAATGTATGTGTATTTGAAGGGAAACACAAGTGGCAGATTGATAAAAAAACACTGGTACAAATATCATCTGATAATGATAGAAACAATTAAAATGATAACCATAATTAATAAATATTTGCTGCTTTAACACATTCGTCCGTCCATCTGTCTGTCCTTCCATCACTTGTTATCAATGTAGTAACATTAATCATAACACACCTGTACCAATACATATTGGAGATGCAGTCTGCAAAAAATCACATTACTTCGATTGCAACATAATGGCCTCATGGCGTCACCACAGAAAGTAACGATGAGTGAGAATACCGTCAATTCAGTTTTTATACCAGTCTTATGAAATGTTATTTTCACTAATGCAAACAAACTAATCAAAGGTACGCAATAAAAAGAATCTTACATTTGTATCCATCCATTTGAAATTGATGGAAGTCGTCAGGAATTTCGTTTCGATTCACCTTTTATCAATTTCATATCAAAAGAAATTCATGTAAAGTTCCTTCAACACGGTGTCATCGTTATTGCTATGGAACACTATACAATCTCAATAATATCAATATTTCTGATATTACAAATACCACCTTCCATTGACTTTTCAAACTCAACACACAGTGACGTGTGATGCAAATTTAACATATAATGTGTGACCCCGTCATATTCATTGTCATTTTCACTAATTAACTATTTGTTTCCTCTTTACAGGTTTCTGCTTTTCTGCTATATCTGAAGGATAGCGTTGACAAGGCTGTAAGGCGGAAAAGGTTTTTTCAGCGTCTTAATTCAAATACCCTTGATTTTGAAAAGGGATTTCCGCAGGTTAGATCATCATCAGGTTCATCAGCACATAATTTAATATGCATCAATTCATTCAATTGATCTGATACTAGCTCTCAAAGAGACATTTTTATGTAACACTATCAAATCATTAAGATATCTGTTGATTTCCTGTTTATATTTGAAAAACAACAAAAACCTGCCGGCATATAATAAAGGTCGTTATCCAAATTAAAATGCGATTACACGAGGGCAAATCCTGAACGAAATGTTTAAAAATACAAGGATAATAGGATCAAATGTTCAGGAAGGGTGAGAGTCTTTTGCTTCAGATACGACATCGGACAAGTAAATCTCCGACAATCCATGTAAGTGATATCAAGCTTCCAAATAAGAACAAAGTTAGAAACGGAACCATATTGCATGTCGGCAAGCATCAATCAAATCTAAACTTCATATTGCGAGAAGAAATGGTAATTTTCTCAATGTTACTGACTCCATCATTTACCAATTTTTACTATAAATGAAATGACAACATCACGGATGATTTAATAGTATTGACCAAATATGTATAGTAAAACTGAAAATCAATTTGTTGCAAATATAGGACTTTTAGATAATTACACTGTTTACTTAACATATCCAGTTAATAACAGCGAATGATAGGCCTTCCTAATTGAACAACCTCTCAGCAAGGGGCTTCGATTCGAAGTTAAGAAGTGTGTTACTTGATACATTTACTTTAATAAATTGATGAAACAACGTATCATTGTTTCAATTTTACAACATTAGAAAAGAAACAATTTCGATGATTTGAAATTTTGAAAAATAACAATGTTCATTTGAAAAGCATGTATAAAGTAAGCTTACAAGCCACTAGAGTAGCAGTACTATAAACACCATGAGAATGACGAGGACTTAAAGCAAACTTAAATCGAGTTGAATACCACGATATTATTGATTAATTCATCATGATATAGATTTTATAACGTACAGATATGCGTTATTAGTCTACGATTTTCGCAGCACGCGCTGAAGTGTTCTGTCTGGGCATTATAACAGGTGGTTTCAGGAAGTTAAAGGAAGTTAAAGAACGGCTAGGTAGTCTAAAGTGCAATCTGATAACCTTTATCTGCCTCATTTCAGTGTCATAATTTATCTATGTGTGTCAGCGTTTAAGTGAACTGTCTTAAATTTTAAAACAAATAAATGTAATTGTGACTTAAGTATAAAACAGGTTCTCTATCTCTATGTTTAAACCATTTCAGTACGATGACAATTTTTCGTTGTTTCTTATTCACAGGATATCATGAAGGACCTGGCGACACACTACGGACATGAGATCAAGGAGTCAAGCAAGGATTATATTGCAGTGGTGCAAGCAATCGCCAGGAACCCAAGTACAGGGGAGATAACTGCATTTTCAGACGAAAGGAAAATATCAGGGAAGGCAAAATTCTTAACAGAGAATGTGACTTTGTAATGTGAAGTTAGTTATAATTTACATCATGTATCAAAAGTATTTAGAAATTTATTCGGTCACTTAATGTAAATATTTTCATTCAAGTGGTATATGACGTCTTACAGCTACTGGGCATTAAATGTGGTACCGTGAAAAGTTATTAATAGATTTGTGTACTCATTCTTTACTTTTTTAGAAACTTTATCATACATTCCATAGGGAAAACAATACAATGCCAAGCTCAATTAGGATAAAGGTTCGACAGATACTAGGGAGTTTTATATATTTATCAAAGTGTATTCTGTCATTCCTCAGTATTTAAATCAGAACAGAATATAACAAAGAATGAAGGTTATCGGTATTGTGTTGTGCTTCAAATGTATTAATAGCTTTTTTAGGTTGTGCGGATATACATGCTGATTTGAAAATAAACGATTTTAGAGAAGCATTTTAAGTACCAAGTAATGAATAATTGAAATCTGTTTTCGAACATATTAAATATCGACCTTTTCCAATTGGTTATAACTTAAGGTTTCCGTAAATATAATGATAATTGTACCAATTACCTCCTCAACTCACTATTAGATAAGTTTTTTTTGTACAAAATAAACTGAACTACACCGTACAACTGTTCTGTGAGTGATGCAAGGGATCTTGATGTGTGGAAATCCTAGAAGGCAGATTGGAATAAATCATAGACTGAGAGGAATATTCATCCATTCATTGATTCATTAATAAAACAACAACAGCAACAACAGTGACATGAACATCTGACCCTTGTTGCCCAAAGTTGAGTTAATTTACGGTTAGCAAAAAGAAAATTCAAATTATTGCTGTTGATAATACAAGAGCGTCAAAGGCAAAATTAATATTCAGAATATATCAATCTGTCCTTTTTCAACAAAATTACATCTATGAAATGGTAAAAAATGTTTTCAATTCTGTTTGAATCAAATTTGAAAATTTTCACTAATTACTGCTAATCTCTAACCAGCCTTTGAACAACCGGGGCCTGTACTCCATATTTTAATTTGAAGTATCTAGTTCTGACCTCTTTCAATTTTGTTGAGTTTTAATCAAGTTTTATTGCTTTGAAATGCGAAGCAAACCGTCGAAGTTACCGTCTGGTTGCTCTGACAACAGAGTGACACCGACAATGATATCATCAGTCAATCATTGATACGTACGTGATTCTCAATGGTTCCATACAGCTATCCATTTCCATCTAGACAAATTCAATTGCGGTGATCACTTTCGTTTTTTTAAGAGATCCATTCGTCCTTTAATATATATTTTCTGTCTGCTGCGCTATGAAAACAGTTTAACAATCACCTGTTATTACGACTTGACATGTCTGACAAGCACCCTTTGAGGTAGAGCTTCAGGCTCATTTATTCTCATGAAATTTTGTACATACTGGTTAAATATTGAAGAAATTCTGCAACGTGTGTTAAACTACCTTACCGACCTCATATCCCACAATGATGTCACTTAGATTAACAACATACAATCATATTAAGCTGAACAAAATTTCATGGTTTTTCGTCACGATGCACGTAATGGTATTGCTTCAACTTATATTTTTGAAATGATATGCAAATAAGCGTGTGCATATCGTTTTATCAGCAAAACCAAATATAAAAAAATAGAAATTATATAATAATTATGATCTGAAATACTTTTAAGAAACGAGAGAAAACTGAAAAGTCATCATTAATTTGACAGATCTATGCTAAACCTTTGACCTCTGTCATCACTTTCTTATCCAAATTACAATTATTTTGATCACGTCATTGAAACAGAACACAACAAAAACAAATGAAATAAAAAGTAAACACTTCGAGACTGTTGTATTACGTTCAAAATCAGATAAAAGTTTTCACATCTTATTTACAAATATCACTTTTTGGGACTTTATTAAATTTTAAAACAAACAAAAAAAGTAAAGTTTTAATAAAACTATTTAGTGTGTGTGCTGTTTGATATGAATCGATTAGAAACATATCTTTCGCAAAACCAACAATAGTGTCAATGCTATTATTTCGAGGTGTTCCATTTCTCGCGTCATTAAGGAAGGAAGATTACGGCGAAAATAAAGATACATTGAAAATATTACAAAATACATGAAGGAAACCTTAGGCTGTTGCCTGATCTTCGCATAAAGAAAACATTCATTTGTTTGTACCTTTTACCAAACAGTGAAAAAAGAATAATGTTTTCAGTTCTCCTGGTGTTGATGAGGACATCAGTTTAAAATCGAGACAATTTAGAAAGTTTTAAAACTTTACATCCAGCAATTTCAAAATATTTTTATGCTTAGTAGATACATTTTCAATTTTAATAAATGTGAAGAACTAGACAGATTTCTTACCAGGCCTGAATTGTATCATCTAGATTTACCCGCATGTCTTTTAATCAGATTACTCTGTATCACCTTTGAAAAATCTGTTTCAATAGACTGCTTAAGAACATAAATGTTTATTGTTTGATGAACTAATTGTGTTGTCATCGGCGTAATTATAGAGTTTGGATTACTTGGCAAAAAGAGCATGTCATTGTATGTTAAAAAGAATGGGCCCATTATTGAGCCCTGTGGAATCCCTTGGAGCACTTTTAAATGGTCAATGTCTTTGGAGCCCAATATGACCTTTTGTAATTTTTTATAACTACTAAAGGTATATTGCTTTTGAGTAACAGATCATGGGAAAGGCAGCCTCCACCGAGTGCTGGTCCAAATTTCAGTTAACGAAGCACATAAGACCTGCCCTGTGGCCATACCCATCTAGCAAACGGACAGATCTCTACCAGTCTTCGTGAAACAGAGGCTGGTCAAAATAGTCATAATGTTTGGTCTCTCTAACCAAGAGAATGGTTTGTAACCGACGTTCGAAGGGTTTCAGTTTGGTAATTAATTTTTCTTTTATTATTACTTTTTGGCGAATCCTGTAAATATTTCAGCATAATGAAATCAGGCTCCTTACATTTCTACCTCTCAAATTTGAGTGGAACTCTCCTCAGTGTCTGAGTACCAGTACCTTTACGGCCGATGCACATTTTAATCAAGGGGAGATAACTAAGCCAACAGCTCGGAATGAATTTCTATTGCATCGGGCTTATTACGTATGGAAAACTAGTCCAAGAATGCAGAAAGAGTACAGACCATGCAATGCAAACCAGATGAATTAAAATTGCCAAATTTCAATGTGTTCAAGTACAGACATATCAGTACATTTTCTGTGAAACCATAAAAGGCTTTCATCACACTGAAGCTCATACTAGCTACGTATGAAGGGCTTCACACAGGAATCACAGGGAACTCGGAACTGGCCTGTGTATGAGGAAACATAACGAGAAAGAATAATGATATATTTCATACCTCTAGATATATCACTTTTTCGATAAACAAGAATCATTGGTGTACGATGGTCGGTTTGAGAGTGAACAGAGCTCAGTAAAAGTTAATAAATCAACATTTTCAAGCAGTAAGTTGATTTCTCACAAATACAGTTTTTACTTATCTGCTTCAAATTGATCGCAGAAGTTGGATAAAATCTGAAGAAAACTACAAAAAGGATGAACAGCGTGAGAGAGATTTTTGTAGCCACTAACTTACTTAATAAGATATATTAAACGTAGTGCTGATGTTTTCGCCTCCAGCACTACCTAGTCGGGCCCATACCTAAGATGATAGATTTTACCATGTTTGTTGACATAAACGAGAATACACATTAAACTCGCAGATTCACTTCGAGGAAAGGTGGATAATACCAGGAATCTAAAATATACAAACATAAAAATTATCCGATCTAACAGACAATAGGAAAAATTTGTTTGACACTATGATACCGGATGGCCATTTTAGAGACGTAGGTTAATCAATGTGTTCTGTAACAAATATAAAGGAATAATTATTAAATACTTTTACACGAAGTAACACGTAATGTATCCACACAGGTAAATCCGCACTACTAGCATTATATGAATATTACGAAATCCAACCAGTAGCGACATAAGCTAAATCGTTATTACGAGACACTAGGTCGTTATTACGAGACACTAAATCGTTATTATGAGACTCTAAATCGTTATTACGAGACTCTAAATCGTTATTACGAGACTCTAAATCGTTATTACGAGACACTAAGTCGTTATTATGAGACACTAAATCGTTATTACGGGACTCTAAATCGTTATTACGAGACACTAAGTCATTATTATGAGACACTAAATCGTTATTACGAGACTCTAAATCGTAATTACGAGACACTAAGTCGTTATTATGAGACACTAAATCGTTATTATGAGACACTAAATCGTTATTACGAGACTCTAAATCGTTATTACGAGACACTAAATCGTTATTATGAGACACTAAATCGTTATTACGAGACACTAAGTCGTTATTACGGGACTCTAATTCGTTATTACGAGACTCTAAATCGTAATTACGAGACACTAAGTCGTTATTACGGGACTCTAATTCGTTATTACGAGACTCTAAATCGTTATTACGAGACTCTAAATCGTTATTACGAGACACTAAATCGTTATTACGAGACTCTAAATCGTTATTACGAGACACTAAGTCGTTATTACGAGACACTAAGTCGTTGTTACGAGATATGAATTCGTTATTACGAGACACTAAATCGTTATTACGAGACTCTAAATCGTTATTACGAGACTCTAAATCGTTATTACGAGACACTTAGTCGTTATAACGAGATTCTAAATCGTTATTACGAGATACTAAGTCGTTATTACGAGATACTAAGTCGGTTTCACGATATCACTAAGCAGCTATTACTAGATACAGAGTAGTCATTACGAGATACATTTGTATTAAGTCGTTATTACGAGACAATGTTTTTACCCTCTGATCCTAACCGGCTTCCGCACAATATATTGTTCATGGCGACCCAAAAATAATACTTAGGAAGAGCGATCATTTAATTTGATAAGTTCAAGCGAATATACATCTTTCATGAGTTTCTTTGAAATGATAATAATAAAAAGGGAAA